ACTTCTGTATGAACTACAAATGGTATTTAGAGCAACAGACTCCAGGTGTACATCTTTGTTTTGTGCCCCCTTCACACCGGGGAATGCAGCTGTGGCAAGCTGAGCTCTTCAGGCAGGCGGCACTCCAGAGACACAGGTACCATTTGCAGCTCAGAGAATAACTAGTGAACCTTTTCAAAATAGGGTTGCACAAAAATAAGGCAAATCGCCTCAAATTCTTTCTGTCCTGGTGACTTCGATAATAAACCGTAGTTTCCTTGCAAAATACAAGAAACAAGTAGCAAATTTTGTGGCCAAACAAGCACTGCACAGTCATAGCACAGGCCCTGACTGTACTGGCCCCAAGTAGTGAAGATCGACTGCAACAAAAAACTTTTGAAATGGTGGTTAATGTTGTCTACCTGCAGGGAAATAAAGCGACCTCCCAGATAAGGCTAGATACATAGCAGGCAAAGTCTGATCTAATAAGGGAAGTCGAAGATGACCAACTCTTGGAAGTATTTGGGTAAAGAGAAAAAACACACCACACAGGTGTATTCTCCCTGGGACCTTCCCAACACAGCCAGTTTCCTGATACTTATGCTGTTTTGTCAATGTGCATGGCTTCATCAGGAATCTTCCAACAGTTGGTATTTTACCTTTACCCTCAGCTGATGAAGACCAATGATTACGTGAAGATTTCACCTGTCTTTTGAAAAGCAGAATGTTTCTGCATCTCATGCCTCTGAGAAACATTCGTAACACTAAAAAGCAAAAAAACCCAGCTTATTTAGGTTAGAATTGCTGCTGCATTAAAAAAAAAAGCAGCGTACACTGATCTTATTGAGGGACTAGGAGTTAGAAACTCTGCCTTACAGGAGCAAAAAGCTGAGCTCCTACCACCTGCTTTGAGAAGCTTAAGAGAGATCAAACAGCAAGGAGCAGAGGAGCTGACACAGTAGTTCCCAAATCAAAAGCTGCTCTCTTCCAAGAACAGAAAACAGCTTGAAGACATGTTACCAGTTTTGGTGAGCACTGGTGAAAAAGAGAGATGATGATACCGTATCTGACATTAGGATCCCCAGAATTTCCCAAACGAGTCTCCCTTTTACACAGAAGAGACTGTAGAAAGGTTAGGCACAAGAGACCTTACCTGGAACAGTAATGACAATTTTGCACTCTTAGGTCTCATTCCCAGTTGAAGCAGACAAGAGGCAGGGGAAAAAAGTCCTCATTTTGCAGAATAACTTCACGGCAGCATGTTGCCAGTGGCACTTTCCTTCCTTCTTTGTGTGAGAGAACCTGAAAGGAGGCAGTGTTTTGTTTTGTTGTGTTTTTTTTTTAAAAAAAATCATAGCCTTGATTTGTCTTATTTGAAATTGTCCCTGGCTCCTTTTAAGTAGAGAAATGTTAGAGTTTGATTAATGCCAAGTAGTTTTTTTTTTTTTTTTCCAAAAAGAAATCTGAACATTATCTAGCTAGAGTATAAAATATTCTAAATTGAAGCTAAAATTTATATTACATAAGTCAAAGGGGTTTAGGGGCATTACTATTCTGAACAGATACTTACCTGTACGCACTTCTCCATTTCAGGACTTCAGCCCACCCTATTTTGTGGAAATTTTTCTTTAATTATTTGTATTTCTTTCTCAGTGAACAGTGTTCCTAAAATGCTGTGTTAAGAATTGAAATATAACAATCAAAATATCGTTTATAATTTCTGGCAGGCTGGAACTTTTGGCAGTAATGATGTAATTTACTGACACCACTAGAGTTATAATGCATTTCAACATCCTTCCTCTGTATATTGCCAATATTTTCAAAGACCTATCCCACATGTACTTAATTACTAAAAGCTAGAAAACGTTTTCTCCTACAATAGTTCTCCTCAGGGAAGTGTTAACTGAAACTTACCTTTGTCATCAGAGACACTTCACCATCAGAAGTCCTTGCTGTATCTTTTAACAGAAAAATTTCATTTTACAAATCATTAGTTAAAAATAAAGCAATGAAGATTTTCTTACTGTGTAGTTATGGAAAACTATTATCTTTATTTCCTTTTCCTCTAAATGTGACAAAGAAATGATACTGCCTGTCTGTGTAACATTAGGGACATTTAGATAAGCCAGGAGAGTTATTTTGTAAACTCCTGTGGCTACGCTAGTATAATTAGTCTCTTCTGTAGACACCAGCATAAACCTGATGTCCCAACAATGTACAGATGTAAAATTTGAAGTGTTGGTCAACTACAGCAGTGTAAATCCCACATTACACTGGTACAGCTTGCTTATGTCAAAGATAATTATAGGTGTAATAGAACTAGACCAAAAACTGCTTATACAACTAAATGTTAGTAACTTTCATATCACAATTCCATACAATGCTACACTGCAGATCCCTTAATATTAACCACATACTTCATCTCACTACAGCTTAAATGCAGGCATTAAGAAGTAAACATTCATTGTGATGGGGTATCAGTACTCCCATACAGAGCAGTAAATGAAAAATATATTACGAAACAACATGGCAGAAGTAATTTTCTCAGAGACAAGATACAATAAATAGGACAGGAATTTGCCTGGCACACCTTGTTAATAGTCTCATCTAGTCACCATATCCAGATACTGTTTCAAAGAAGTTCAAAGGAGTGCAAGAAATTAAACACCAGTACTGTGCCTGGATCATCTGTTCCTTGGAAATAGTTTCATTGAAAAACAGATCTAGTTACATTTTAATTTACAGACTAAGAGGACTGGATTGTAAAATTAAAAGACATGATTTTTTTTTTTTTTTTAAATAAATCTGTGACAGTTTTCTAATAGACCTGCTAAAAAGAAATTTAAATACTATTAGGGATTCTGCAGGACTTCCAAGGAAAAAAAGAAACATGGGAGAACATGAGAACAGAGCTCATATGCATATGTGCATTTTTATCACCTGTGTACAGATCTGAGAAAGCAGAAGCTCAGAAAGGATGATCACGATCTGAAGACAAAATTCAGACTGGAATAAGTAAGAAGGATACCACTGAATCATTCAAGTGCAATGACAGGTTGAAACAAGAAGGCACCTGACAATGAGGAGACAACTCGCATTCAGGAGAGATGCCTGTGCCCTGTATGAAATGTATGAAAAAATAGCAATAGTAAGTGCTGTGTACATAATTCAAAGATTTAGTAAACATGCAGAAAGTAATGCAGAGTTTTAAAAAGAAAGATTCAAAAGGTACTCCACTGCCAACATGCTTACCCTCAAACATTAGATGCATCATTATTTCCAATTAAGTCAACTTTTGGACCAGAACCTAGACTGTGTACTCCTTTCTAACTGTAACTACTGTGGGGCTGGAACAACAGCTTGTTCTGTTTGTAAGACAACAGGATTACAGGAAATTGATTCCCAGAAAAATTATACAACAGTAAAGCATGGTCTTGGGCAGGGGGGCGTGTGTTACATCCTTGGCTTCAATTTTCTTTCAAGGTCTTAAGAATAATTTCAGTTTTAGAGCTTAACACTGAAACTCAACTTCTGCTGCTGAAAGATACATGTTTAATCCTTACACAGCATTATTTTCACATATTGAGGCCGACATCATGGGTAGTCAAAGAATATGTTTAATAAAAAATAATTAAACTTCCATTTGCTCTATAGAACATCATAGAAAGTAATTCAATAAATTACAAATGACTTTTTAAGACGCTTGTTCAACTACAGAAAGCAAATTCAGACTACACAGAACACAACTGGCAAATATTGCAAATGTCCAAAAAAACCCTGGACTAAGACTTGGATCATGAAGCCTGAAACAAGGGATAGAAATACAAGGCAATAACAGCTAAGGTTCTTTTAGTAACTACCAACACACACTTTATCATCACCTTGGATATCCTTTTAATTTTAACTTCAGTATTAGTGTAATTCTACTGAGGTTTCCTTATAACCCTTAACTTTATACAACCGTATTTGCATATAGTTTAGCTGATAGTGGGACATTTTTTCCCCCTCTGGTTCAAACTGATTAAAAATAAACCCAACATATTATGTTCAAGTCTACATCAGCCTTCATTACTTGAAACTGTAATTGCCTTATTACATAGAAAGAATCACTAGAATGGTAACCAAACTCACTTGACCGTAATTAGGAAAATACTTTATTTCATAAATCTGATATAAATTAGGTTTTAGCCACAAGATTTAGGATTTGTTTAGTGGGGTAAGGGTGGGAAGTGATGGTATTGTTGACATACTCCATCAGCAAACTAAGTTAATAACTGTTTGTAAAACTTTGGCTATTTCATAGATGCATCCTAGTTAAAAAAAAGTGCTATATTACAAAGGGCAAAATATTAAATATGAAATACTTTTTTTTTTTTCCCACGATGAAGAATTGCTACCCCCTTCTCTTGGCAGTTTTTCATTTTCACTATTGCTAAGACACTGCATGAAGGGCCAAAAATCAGAATACTATTTGGGGAAAATATGTAACCAGCACAATCCAAATGGTACTTTTATAATTGTGTAATTACATGTAATACTGCTTCTAATCATGGGGCTAGTTATTTTGCACATAGAAACTTATATTTCATTGGTAAAGTTCTTGATAAAAAAACAACACAGTTGTTTTACTGTACAAGCAAGCAACAGAACTATATCAAAATATACAGTTTTTGTTTTTTAAATTTATCCCTTTGTAAAGCTTTTTCAATGACTTCTACTAGTACCTGTATCTATCTTCTCTTAACACTTTCCTATTCTTGGACCGCAAATGATGTAACCAAGGTCAACTGAAGTCTTGGTCAGTTCAGAACTTCTGTAAATGTGAATCTGGGCCTCGACTGTGTCAGAGTAATAGCAGCTTAAGGAGGAATCATATCACACATCAAATATTAGACAGATTTTATATAGTAAAGGGTTCTAAGGATTTGGACTTAAACAGATGCCTTATGCCCTGTTATTGTGGTTTCTAGGAATAATTTGTCTTCCTTGCTATTCAAAGTGCTTTTTCTTTAGTGGGTAACTCAGCATAATATATGAAGTGATATCCCAATAATGATTTTGGGTAATATTTAATATTTAGTCAGATTTAAATCTGCAGAGAAGTTTAAACTCAAAAGGAGTTCAAAACTATCTATACTTTATTTACCATTATTAACTGGTAACTCCAGGAGGTTTTATGACATAAAACACAAATAGAAATCTACACAAACAAAGCAAACAAACAATTTTTACATGAAGTATGCAGTGTTGAAAGGTCTTTTCAGTGGCACTTTATGACAGTTTGCCTCTTCTGAGTCTTGGGGAAACTACTCCTCATTTTGGGACTTTTAATTCTGCAGAGGGAGCCCAAAACTTTGCAAGGTGTAAACTAAATAGATCTACGTGGTGCCAAGTAGCATGAGATAAGACAGGTTTTGCTTTTATTTCCCCTTACTGCTGTCAGAGAGAACAGTTGTGATAAGGGGGAAAGAAACCCCAACAGTCATATCTCAAATAACTCAGATTTTAACATGATATACAGGATGTCTTTAGAAAACAAAACAAAACCTGAAAACAAGTAATAGAAACCAATGTAAACTTCCTAAACTAACTCAGCTGAGGTAACAGGTAGCCAGTTTAATTGGCTGATTGGGAAAAATTTATCTTCTTTTAAACACACTTGTACCTGAATTGGAAACAGCAGTGCATCACAACACTAGAGCATTTTCATGTAATTAAAGCAATGGATGGTGATGTAGATTCTACAGCTTTCATGACATTCATTAGCTGCCCAAATTATTGCTGAGTTTTGATCTGTAAATTATAAGTGTCAAGGAGGCTGTAAAACTATATTCAAATTAAATCAATAATATGCATAAAGTATTCTGTGTTCACTGCAAATATATTAAATATACAGCTCTTACTTGAGCATTATTTTCATAAAATTAACCCCCCAACAAAATTATAATGCCTTTTGTTGTAATTTTACACCATTGTGTATTTGATAGTACATACAAGTTCAGAAACTTATGAACTTCAAGAAATATTACATGCAAAACGTCTCTGAAAGCAGTTTGCACTTCTAAACAAATACTGAAATGTTCGGTCAGTAAATCATTGATGCACTCAACACTGGGTTATTTACAATGAAATAATTAAAGAATAAATTCAAAATCAGTTTATAATTTAAGTGCAGAGTCTGGGGTCAGTCTTCATCGCTAGAATCTGAATCCTCAGATGAAGACGATGTACTATCAGATCCAGATGAAGCATCCGCTTTCTCTGAACCCTCATCTGTGCTGTTTTCATTGTGAGAGCTTGGCTCTGTTCCCCCTTTGTCTTCCTGATCTCTAACCCTAGAATTTTCCTCCTTTTCTTCTGTGGGCTTAGCTGAGCCTGTGTCATTGCTTTCACTGTTCTGTACATCAAAAATACTAGACTGAGACAAAGCTGGGATATGAAGATTAAGGCCTGGAGTGAGAAGCATCCCTGGGTAAAGTATGTTGGACAGAAGTAATGGGTTAAGAGAGAGAGGATTGGCAGCTGCAGCGGCAGAGGATGTTGAAGGAGAACTTGAAACAGAGTTTTCACCACCAGTATCCGTATTTTGGTCTTCTGTCCTTTCTTTCTTTGTATCTACCTCCTTTGAATCGCTTCCCTTTTTTTCCTCTGAAATAGATTCTGTAGACTTTGTTAGAAGTCCTCCCATGCCCAGCAAGTTTGGTAATCCAGCCATCCCTGACAGCAGCATGGGGAACATGGCAGCCATGTTCTTTGCTTCTCCTCCAGTAGTTAAGCCAGCTGGCATTCCCATTAATCCTGCTGTTACTTGCAGCGACTGCAGGTTTTGCAGGTTTTGTTGTAAGGCCTGAAGACTAGGCAGATCCACTCCTGGAAGCAATCCGTTAGCTAGCAGAGGGTTAACTGATGTGCTTGCAGCAGTGGCAGCTGCTGCAGCTGCTGTTGCCTTAGCAATTTCACTTTTGGGGCGCCTTCCTCTCCGGCTTACTTCTTCCCGCACGACAGGTCCAGTGAGAATACGGTCAAACATACCTTCTGGAAGAAATCCCTGCAAGAGGCACATTAGGCATTTTTAGTATTTTGAGAGCTTAAAGATGGAAAAGCAAAAGCGAATGAAAGACCCAACCATACAGTAACAGTGTCAAAGATTATCCTGGTATGTTAGCACAGCAGCTTGATCTCCAGACAACTCACTGGAATTTGTGGTGACTCTGTGCTATCACATCTCAAATGTCTAAAGGCCCATTTCCACACTGAGGTCTACACAGGTATCTTCTCAGACCCTCTGCTAACTCATCCTTAGAGGTTTGTTTGCAGATCAAGCCAAATATAGCTAATTACAGGAGCAATCTTAATTCAAGATCTAAAACAGCATTGCTTTGCAGTATTACCACATCCCAATCATTTGACAGTTTAATTAAAAAGATTAGTTACTCAATTTAAAGTTAAATATAAATGTGTGATTGCACATAGACCAACGCTCTCCAAGCCCTTTTTATTATTGCTAGTGTCTTTTTAACGTACTCATATTTCACCTCATCCATAAACCTAAGAATAAACAGTAAAGACACAAGTTCAATTAAAACTAAATTCAGAGCACTTTTTTTAGGGCTTGCACAGTATCACTTCACCTCTGTAAGCCCTCCTACCTAATGATGAAGAAAGAATTGCAATGGACACTAATATCACTCTCTTTGAAATGCATTGTCTTGAAAATTCCTCTTAAAAATGGCAACCATAAGATCAACTATTACTCACCTCCATACTACAATAGCCTTTTTTCCCCCAGCAAGTATCTCTAATTTAAACTAGCCTAATACAACTAGAGGAATTCAGAACTCATGCTCTGTTCTTCTGTCCTGTGGATCACTCTAAATTTTAGAAGTAATTCTGCTATTATTTATACCTTTATTCGCTGCTGTCTAATCCTGTTCCTAGTTACCTATTTCTCTACCAGAATGTCCCACAACGGTACTGGAGAGACTGGCATTTAGAACTTCACAGAAAGATTACAAGTTCTGTTGATGGTGAACTAGAAAAAAAAAATTAACTTGGTCATTTCTTTGCCAGAGGCTGAAGGTGTAGCGTAAATGTAATATACTTCTGACAAGTTATAGTAGGTGAGGAAATAGACTTCACAAGAATATTGACAAAACTATCTTCACTTCTGTTAGACACAAGGAAGAGTAACTGGGTTACCCAGAAACTGTTCTTTATTATACAACACAACTTTCTGAAGTTCAAAATATGTCCTTATCTTCAAGGCAACTAGGGAATGAATTCAAAACCATACACCATATTTAAGTCAGAGACACTTAAAAGGAAAGAGAGACCAGCTATACAATAGTTCCTGTAATGAAAATGCGTACCTGTTGTTCTTTTGGAACTGTGGACAAAGTCTATAAAATTTTTCTTTTAAATTTATTTTATAAATTTTTAAATTTAACCAAGTAAAAACCTCAAACAGAACAAAACCTCAAACTCACTGAATGCATCTTGCTACTAGTAAGAAGCTGGTTCAGGACTCCTAGGGAATGTAGTAAAATTTATTTTATAAATTTTTAAATTTAACCAAGTAAAAACCTCAAACAGAACAAAACCTCAAACTCACTGAATGCATCTTGCTACTAGTAAGAAGCTGGTTCAGGACTCCTAGGGAATGTAGTACTCTTAACACTAACTTTGTCGGTAATCCATACAGAAGGAATATGTGGGCAACACTTAAGTTGAAGTGCAGATCTATTCCTAAAAATATACTAATATATTAACCTTGTTCCCTCCACTGCAATCTCAACACTAGTTTTTAGTTAAAAACAAAACCTCTAAGAAATAGAAAAGAGAAATTCTAAGTAGTAGAAAATAACTATATTAATACTTGACATTTATATATTGATTGAGGATAGTGATTTCTTAAAGGTGCACACTGAAAGTAAATTAATTAAAAAGTAAAATAAATATTTAAAATTATGTTTATCCTCCTAACTGTAACTTTAAGAATAAGAAAGTATTCTGTGGGTTAATACCTTTCCTAAAAACCTTCAAGGCTACATTTATGAGATGAAAAAGTCACAGTATTATAGCACCTTCAACCAGATCTCTAATTTGGGGTTGCCAGCCACTGTACCTTCCTTCCTCCTACTCACAGCTGTGCCAACAAACCAGTTTAGGGAAATGAGCTGGCAGGAAAAAAGCTAACATTGACTCACACTCCGCATTTAATATAACAGCAGAAATGAAAAGCATGAATATGTGGGCAACACTTAAGTTGAAGTGCAGATCTATTCCTAAAAATATACTAATATATTAACCTTGTTCCCTCCACTGCAATCTCAACACTAGTTTTTAGTTAAAAACAAAACCTCTAAGAAATAGAAAAGAGAAATTCTAAGTAGTAGAAAATAACTATATTAATACTTGACATTTATATATTGATTGAGGATAGTGATTTCTTAAAGGTGCACACTGAAAGTAAATTAATTAAAAAGTAAAATAAATATTTAAAATTATGTTTATCCTCCTAACTGTAACTTTAAGAATAAGAAAGTATTCTGTGGGTTAATACCTTTCCTAAAAACCTTCAAGGCTACATTTATGAGATGAAAAAGTCACAGTATTATAGCACCTTCAACCAGATCTCTAATTTGGGGTTGCCAGCCACTGTACCTTCCTTCCTCCTACTCACAGCTGTGCCAACAAACCAGTTTAGGGAAATGAGCTGGCAGGAAAAAAGCTAACATTGACTCACACTCCGCATTTAATATAACAGCAGAAATGAAAAGCATGCCTTTTGGCATGGTTTTTTTTTTTTTTTTTTTTCCCCCACCTCCCCACCCCTGTTTGCCTTGTTTGTTTTTAAGATAAATTTCACGTCACAGTTATCTTATTCTGCAAATACTCACAGACTGTTTCACAACTTCTCCCCATTCCGGAGCCACTCCATACTCTGGATTTTCTTTCAAGAACCTGCACAAATCCTTCAGAGGGGGAGCAAATGCACCCCCCACCTGAGAATCAGAAGACAGAAGTCAGGAAATACTTCTCACTCAATAAGAAAAGGCAACATTCATACCTGACAGTGTTTCATTATTGCCTTTTATATAAAACAATACAAATAAAGTCTCACTTTAAATTATTAATGAGTATGATATAGCTTTTGACTGATTTGTGGTGGTATATGTGAGATACTTCAGTAGAGATAATCTAAGCTCAAACTCATCTATTAAACTCATACTTTGCAACTTCAATATTTGACATTCCTACTAACGTTTAATATCAAAGTTTATTTAGACATGCAATGAATGGAAGAGCAACCACATGAACAGAAAACGATAGTGGTCCAAGTATTACCAAGAAGGTTGTAACTACAATCTTGTTAAACTTTCCCTTTATCCACTAAATCAGTCCTATCATCTCAGCCAACTTCTAAAAATACTTCCATTAAGAGGCTCTGCTTCTCTTGTGAAATTAATTCTTGTATTTTTTCATGCAAAAAAGGCCAAGTTAAGATTGCTAGATAGCGTGTCTTAATAAAATCATATAAGCAGGAACGTAAGCCTTCAAACTAATCAGAAGTATTATTCAGATCCAGAAAGAAAGAAGAAATGGCAGGAAGAAGGGAAAAAGAATTCCAGTTTCTGCTCAACTTCCTCTATAAACTGCAACTGAAACTTGTGTTTTCTGGGCTACTTTTGGTACCCTCACTCCTTGCTACTAAATGTATAACTGAACTAAAAAAGAATCATAGAATCATAGAATTGTTTAGGTTGGAAAAGACCTTTAAGATCACCCAGTCCAACCATTAATCTACACTACCAAGTCCACACTAAACCAATCAAGGGTAGACTAGACTAAACCATGGCCCAAAGTGCCACATCTACCTGTGTTTTGAATGCTTCCAGGGATGGGGACTCCACCACCTCTCTGGGCAGCCTGTTCCAATGCTTGACTACCCTTTCCGTGAAGAAATTTTTCCTAATATCCAACCTAAACCTCCCCTGGCGCAGCTTGAGCCCATTTCCTCTTGTCCTATCACTAACTACTTGGGAGAAGAGACCAACACCCACCTCACTACAACCTCCTTTCAGGGAGTTCTGGAGAGAGTGATAAGGTCTCCCCTCAGTCTCCTCCAGACTAAACAATCCCAGTTCCCTCAGCTGCTCCTCATAAGACCTGTGCTCCAGACCCTTCACCAGCTTCGTTGCCCTTCTCTGAACACGCTCCAGCACCTCAATGTCCTTCTTGTATTGAGGGGCCCAAAACTGGACACAGTATTCCAGGTGCAGCTTCACCAGTGCCGAGTACAGTGGGACAATCACCTCCCTGCTCCTGCTGGCCACACTATTCCTGATACAAGCCAGGATGCTCTTGGCCTTCTTGGGCACCTGGGCACACTGCTGGCTCATGTTCAGCTGGCTGTCAACCAACACCCCCAGGTCCTTTTCAGCCAGGCAGCTTTCCAGCCACTCTTCCCCAAGCCTGTTGCATTGCATGGGGTTGTCATGACCGAAGTGCAGGACCCGACACTTGGCCTTGTTAAACCTCATACAGTTGGCCTCAGCCCATCAATCCAGCCTGTCCAGGTCCCTCGGCAGGGCCATCCTACCCTGTAGCAGCTCAACACTCCCACCCAGTTTGGTGTCATCTGCAAACTTACTGAGGGTGCACTCAATCCCCTCATCCAGATCATCGATAAAGATATTAAACAAGGCTGGCCCCAAAACAGAGCCTTGGGGAACACCGCTTGTGACTGGCCGCCAACTGGACTTAACTCCGTTTACCACAACTCTCTGGGCTCGGCCACCCAACCATTTTTTTACCCAGCGAAAGAAAATGAGACAAAATGAGTTGGGTGATGCAGAGAAGTTGGGGACAGGTTATAAATGGGAAAACTGAGGTTAACAAAGTAACAGAACAGAGTCTCAACTATGGTGTGAAAATTTATTAGAGGAAAAAAGCCATCATGAAAACATAGGCTTTTACAGCAAGCACAGATCAAATCTCTCACTCCTTGATCATCACCTTTGAAAAGATTCCTCAGGGCATGGCTTACTGTAGAGCAGCCAAGGGTCTGTTTTTCAAGCGACTAGCAACCATACAAGTTCCTTTTTAGAGCTCCTGTCTCAATGCACTGAAAAGATTAAAGACTCAAATTCTGCCTCATTCTCCTCTACAGATGCAAAAAGCTTCTGACCTTAATACAGCAGCATAAAAAAAAATTTCCTGCTTTCCTTGCAACTGCTCTCTAACAAAAAGAAAAACCAGCAGTATCAGAAGAGAAAATGCAATACCTCAAAGACTCCCACTGGACTGCTGCTCTGGCACTACATTCACATTCAAAGACACCACCCCACACATCTGTCCAAATATGTTCAATAAACAACAGTAATGTTCAGCATGCTTTTCTCGAATATTGCCTTGTAGCCTTCCCCAAAGCCTATTCAAATGCATTATGCCTTCCACAAATTTTGATCATCTGTCCAGAAACTTGAATTCAACATCTGGTCTCTCATCTTCCACTGTTGGGATTTTATACAAGAATCCCCCTTCTACTTTTGTTCCCCTGTTACGCTACTGTTTAACCTAGCAATGTGATTTACAACAGACACATACTGGTGAACCATAAAGGTCAAATGCAAGAGATAAATGAAAGAAGAAAAAAGCAAACTAATTCAGTACACAGGACTGAAGCAATTCCAATGGACAAAGTTTCTATGCAGGATGCACTACCAATATAATTTTAATCTCATCAAAAGTAGTAATGAGAAGATGTACACAAAATTTAGAACTTGTGAGAACGTTGCTACTTTGATCAGAACAACATATATTTCAGTGGCCATGCCTCTGTATTAGTTGATGGCACAAATACTGCAATTGAGAGTGTTCAATTCTATCTGAACATAAACCACAGGGTAAGTTTCTAGCTGTATCTCACATATTTTCATAGTTGCAAAAAGTTTACTAGAAGATTTTCATTGACTTTCTTGCTCTGTGCTCAAACCTTAAAACAAAAGCCTTTCATCTGTACACAGTATTTTAGCAAGTGTAATATTAGAACTCTTCATTTCAGATAACTTTTTGTTTGGGGAACACCAGAATGGGAACAGAAATATGAATACCTTTCGTGCGTTTCTTCTATTTATGAGCTGAACACGTTCTTCACCAGTCAAACTATTAACGTCCAGTTTATTAGGGTTTCGACAACGGTGTCTTTTTTGTTTGGGCCTCCCATCGTGCAGCTGCATCCTCTGTTATAAAGGAATTAAAAAACCAATTATCTTTCTGATGTAGCTGTTTTAAAACTGGTAAGATATCTGTGCATTCTCTTGAGTCAGGCATTCATTTGAAGTCATCTTCAGTTTCAGAAATATTTTAGTAACAATACTAATTTACTAATCACAATCATGTAATAAACAGCCCAGTAGACAGCACTAAATCCTCTCCCTGATGCCTCTAACCATTGCTTTGTTTTAATACTTTTTCAGTTTTCAACAGTGCTTTAACTGCCAGGAACATTGCTATTTTGCATTCTAACATCTTTATGGAGAAATAAGGCTGTTATTCCAGACGCCATACATACGATTTTTTTACATTCTGTTCAACATTAACAAATCTCAAAATTCAGAGGTAAAATGAGAACATCATACCCACACAAACATCACTACCATAGCACTGTAATATAGGTATGAGATATATCCCACACTGAAGTCTTTAGTCCTCTTGCACATGACTAAATATGCTGTTACACATTTTCAGCTCTGATCATCAGTATTGTGGTAATATGAGTTTTCTTATCTTAGATAATTTTTTTTAATCCCAGGTGAAACTAGACAAAGATCAAACGTCTTTGTTTAGTATTGCTTTTCCTGGCAATTACATTTGTGAAGGAGAAGGAAGGCTTGCAGAGCTCAAATTACATAAAAAGAAACAGACATTTTCCTTTTCCTAAACAAAACAGAAGAACAAAAAAAGAATAATTCCACATAACACAGAATACAAATTCAAATACATTTTATGAGAAATGTTTTACTCTTTAGCTAGAACAGAGCCGAAAGAAATACTCACAGGAATACAAGCTCCTGAATCTTCAACATATCCAGGATGTTCTTTAAGCCACCTTTCTAAATCTTTCCTTTTGGGGGCGTCATCACCTGCAAGCCTTGTTCCATCTTTTAGGTTAATAACAGGAACTGGACTCTCTGCATCAAGCATGCCTTGGGACTGCGTGTAAGTGAGTGCTGGGTTTATTCCTGCAGCAACTTGACAGGAGTTAATACCTGGATTAACCTGGAGAAATTCAAAACATTTGACTAAGTTCTCCACAGAAAACAAACCATCACAATTATTTCATGTATGATACAATGAAGGCCACAGTCCTGCAGATCATTATGCACACATTGAAGGACTCAGATTACTCATGCCACAAAGATAGCTCCCTTTAAGTCATGGTACAATCAGGTCCTATAACAGATGTTACAGGAAAGGATGTCAGAAAGTGTTGCTAGGTCAAATATCAAGTTTTAATAATACATTGTTAATTACAGTTCATCAAAACTAGACTTAAACTTATTTTTAAAAAAGTTACCAATACTGTATATATCCAATAGTAAAACACTACCAGTTCTCATTTGTGTAGTCATAAACTGTCAGTGAACAATTTCAGAAAAAAACCCAGCCCAACAGGTTTCAGTAATAAAGTTCTTGTTGTATGTTGACAGCTGGTTATGCTCAGTTAAGGGATTAAGAGTAATGTGGACCTTATTTTTGGGTAGAAAATCCAGTTTACTTACATGATTAGGCTGTTTATTTCTATTTATAAAGAGGACATCAACTCCCTCCACATTCTTCCTTCTTCCTCTTCTCTTTTTGACTACAGGCTGACTGTCAACTACAACTCCATTAGCACTGGCTGTTAAGTGACTGGAAGTACCTAATTAATGATGCAATAAAATTAGTGTCAGGTGCTTGAGCTGTTTATAACAAGAAACATGTCTGAATTAAAAAAGGAAATAAAATTACTTGAAATAGTGCAAGTGCAAATAATTTCTACATGCAATATCTAACAAATTGCCTATTGTTTTATGACTGTTTAAACCACTTAATGGCTCTGAAAAGCCACTCTACTATAGAAGCTTCCTACTACTGCCCCCTACCCCCTCCAAATAAATCTGTACAGGGAGGAGAGCTGTTAAAAACTGCTGACATCAGACACACTCAGAGGCAGACATCCCTAAATAAATGTCTGTAACAAGACCTTCATGGTATGTTGCAAAAGAACAAGAAAGTACAAATGCAAGTGAAGGGTGTTATTTTATTTAAACAAAGTTTTTTCATCTGTGTATGTATGAGATCTCAATGAATTACAGTCATTAAATCAGAAGCTGGCCTAATTCTAGTAGAATTAGAAGCACCCAATTCTAATATTTTCAAATACTTCAATCCAAATTTTAACTGCTTACTTTAGGATCATTTTTATTTGTCAGTTTACATCTACTGTTTTTTTTATGAAACTAAGCTGTAAGTTTTTGGCTATAAGCCAAAAAATTGGTTCTAGACTATTGTCCTCTACTGTTTCTTTACATGAGACACAGGAAAGAATATGAAGAGTGCCAATTAACACAGGCATAAATCTGGAACTCTTCATCTGTACTTACAAACTAGCCACAATAAGTTCCGATTTAAACTGACTACTGTCAGTGTAGAGTGATGCACTTTATTAAAATCTTCTTGTGGGGTTGTTTATGATATATAATGGCATCCTTCTAATAAATGAACATTACAGTAACTGACACTGTGAGAGAGTATTCATGTGGTTCAACCTCATGGCTCAACTTAGGTGCCCAATTTCCCTAGCACACTGGAGAGAATTCCTCCAGACTGCAGTTTAGAACAAATAACATTGCAAGCATCTCTCTCCACTGCATGGAGATCAACAGAAGAATGCAGAAGATAAGATTTATTACTAACTCTTATGCCCTCTGACAGTTTATGTACCTGATTCGGGAAGTGATTTTGGGAAGTTGACAAGGCTGATTTCTGAAGCATTCTGGAGTTCACGTAGCCGAGCCAGGTATTGCTGCTGTCCCAATGCACCTTCCTCGCTTTCAAATGGCCTTTTCTGAGACAGTCCCTGCTTCTGAAAAGTCAATTTCAAACCACCTTCCTGTTAAATAAATCCCAGGGTTAGAAGAGTCTCTTCTGAAGCAGAAATGACTACTTCATAATCAGGATTCCTACAGACAAACAGTTACTCCAGAAGAGTTGAGGAAGAACGAAAACATTGTATTAGACCTGCAAACAAATCTTGCTTCTCTTTCATGTAAAAAAATCTGAACAGAAATTTCATGGAATTGTTTCTATGAAAATAAATTTTAAATTATCTATTATCTTAACTGAAAAATCCAGACACTGAACAGCTGTCTAGCTCCCTAATCTAGTCCTAAAGAAATACCAGTCCGAATTACAAGAGGAGGTTTTCATACATTTTTATGTGCTACCAACAGGTCTCAAACTACAGATAAGAAAAATGTTTTAAGCTTCTAGCCTGCATTTAAACTGGGAAATTTACCTGTAACCTTCTAGAAGGCCATGAAATAATAAAGTGCTTGCTGGATAGGACATGCTGACATGTTCAAAAAAGCCAAACAACAGAAATACCTTTCCTTACTAACCAGATTTCTTAGAAACAGCATAAAACAGGCTGTCTGAGGAAGCACCAGAATGGCAAAATTTCATTTCAGAGAGAGAAGTAACAGTGATTCCTTCCAGTGGCTTATGCAAATTAAAAAACCAAACCAAACCAAAAAAGAACAAATAAAAAAGAAACCCCCCAAAAACCAAACCCTCAATGCCCAGAAGCAGCAGACCCAAATACCCACAAACAAGTGTGTGAAGGAAGTGAGAGTGAGAGCAGGCAGCCACTTGCAGGTAAAGCATGCCGCACACCGCAATCGCAATCAGGTCCTAGGGCAATAAAAATAAACATACGTCATTGATTTTCACTGTAAACTCCTTTTCTCGTACATGCTTCTTCACCTTTGACATCTGTGGCGATTGATCATATTCTTCTTTAACACCTGCAAGAAGGGGTGTTGGTGCACTGGGCTCACTGTAATCTGCAGCTGCACCTGGGCTATCCAGAAGTTTGGTCGTGTAGAAAGATGCCACCGTATTGCTGTCATAACTCCTTCTTGCTGAAGGCCATTTACCTTTCAACACTGTTTGACAAATACTATCAAGTCGATTAATCATAACTCGATCCTAAAAAACAAAGAAAGCGTTTTTGTAAGAGTAATGCTTACCAACACGTGTACACATTACATTTATGTTATTATCTTCTAATTCTAAAAAGAAGAGAAATGACAAAATTGTTAATCACTGGACTTGGACCTAAAAGATTTCTAAGTTCCTGGATTTGTACAGACTCCCTGTAAAACTTTGTGAAAGCCACCTCTGTACTTAATTTCATCACCTGTAAACAAATAATATAGTCTCATCTATACAGGGTGTGGGGCCTGCAAATGCTTGAAACACATTATCTCACCTACTTTTAAAGGAAAGAGACGGTAACTACCAAAGCAGCATTTGTGGGTCTGGGCTTTGACTCATTGGTAGCAGGGACTGAACCTGTGGGCAGCACCATAACATATCTGGCAAGCAGCATTTATAAAACTAGATCTACAGACTTTTATTTACATCTCATTTTAGCTTTTCAAACCATATTATTCCTCATTCACGTTCTTAGACACCAAACATAGATCTGACTTCACACACCTGCATAATACATAGATCCTGAGTCCCAATAAACTCAGCTAAGTACAGGTAGAGTCCAGAAACCACCAAGTCTTCTGATACTTTCAGAGTGCATGTATTTGTAAATAAAAAATGTGAACGCTAAAATTACCTGTTCTGTAAGCAAACATTTTTCGCCAAGTTCAAGGCCCTCCCCTGTATTTAAAAAGTCTGATTTTGTACACTCTGAATGTCATTTTTCAGAATCTGCCAAGCACCTGTGACATGGGAAGTCATGCTCCCCTTCTCAAAACGAACGTTCAGAAATTATGAAAAGTACTATTTAGATTTAAATGCACCTTCCAGGAGCAAATGTAACAACAAGTAAAAGCTCCTGAAAGTTCAGATCCCTCATCTATTTTCCCTGTTTCATCACCCTTTTTGTCTCCTGTGTTGCCCTCCTTTTCAGACTTTCCTCAACCGCCTGACCTTGAAACTTTTCCTTCATTACAAGCTTGTGATCTGGCTCTTAAGTGTCAAGCTGATTTGCAACTCATGCCTGTTGCACAGAAGGAGATTTTGAAATTATGTTTTTTATTAAAATGCCAGTGTATATTTTTTTTATATAGCATATGCCTAGCAACACACTAGACATGCTAAAATTTCTTTAAAACTATTGAAAAATATAAGCCTCAAAAAAATCCGTCACAAAAGTTAACATCACATGGGCTTTCCTACACTTTAAAAAAGAAAAAAAGGTGACACACTAAAACCTCTAAGTGTAATACGGACTATAAAAGCAAGTAGATTTTTCAGACCCAGAATATGGCCAAGTCAGTCTCATTTTCCTTACATGTCAGGAAAGAAACCCATCCAAAAAGATATCACAGTTCAAGTTTATGTAGCGAACAGACATTCGGCATTCCAGCAGTTCACAACTTTTGCTTCATCTTCTTAGTAAGCTAGTCATCGAAAGTGTAAGAAACTGCTCTGCGGTCTTCCAAGCTATGTCAGCCACAGAAATTCAGATAGGACTAAAGAGCTTAAAAATATTCAGTATTTATTTCAAACCAGATGAACTTCCAGTCACTTAGTGTTATTATCTTTTCAAAGTATACTTTAGAATTTCATTAATTTCACTAAGTCCGATACAGAATTGTATAGTTAAATTGTAATGTAAAAGTTTTATTACAGCAGTGCTTCAGCCAGTCTATATTTTAACATGACTTACAATTTTGCAGCATAGCTGAAGGAGTCCTATTACTATTAAGAAAGTTTTTCTAATATTTAGCTTAACTGATTTCTTGCTCTGTTTCATTTTTTACATTCTTTTGGACTACTCTAAACAATTCCTCTCAATGACTTAAGATCATCCAAATACCTGATAAATTATCTCACCTTCATCTTAAATATGCTTCATTTAAAGAATTGTTTCCTATGTGAACATTCTGTCTTTTACAGATACAGCTATACAACTGATGTATAAAATGCTTCGTCGTAATTTTACTAGAATTTACCATGAACAGAATTCTGGGGTATTTTCCCCCAAGATCTCCCCACAACGCAGTGGTATGGTTTTAACATATTTAATTGAATACTAATGTCACAGCCCACCTTCCCCCACAACTTTGGTTTTCAAAGTAGTACTATAAACTTGCCTTTGGCCAGTACGATGCAGCCAACATATATCCACCTTGTAGGAGATAAGTGGAATTTGGTGTCCCATTATTCATCTGGAAACTGTCTTGCGTCTCATCTTGTGTTGTACTCAGAGAGGCTACACTCTCTTCATCATATGCTTTTATATGCGGGGTTCCTTCTGCTAAATAAAACCACTAATATCATTTGATGTTGTAAAGAAGTTAAACATTCACTGTAAGAGGTTCAGGTGAACAAAACACACAGAACGATGTTCAGAGAAAGTCCAAACAAAAAGTTAAACTGAAGAATTAATCTGTTAGGTTTTTCAGGATGACTGCTGATCTTTTTCCAGGCATGTAAATTCCACACATATTCCTGTTAATATTTCAAGAGCTTAACATGTCAAAACATGTAGCTATTTGAAAACAGACATCATAAGGCAACATGCACTAAAATATAGAATTAAATTGAAATGAAAAGTGTCTATCACCAGAACATGGCAAATCTATTGGGATACTACTTTAAAAAAAAAAAACCCACCCCATTTCATTTACTGGATGGAATGCTGGGTGTTCCACGTCTTGAACGCATGCATCTACATCATTTATTTTTTTAAATTTAATGACAGAGGATTTTTTCCTAGTATCTTTCCAGTGTGTCCTCTGACTGTCTTGTACTTCTCTCATTATTAATTTACTTTTGCCTCCATCCAGACAACAATGTAATTTCACTATGACATGGGGAAACAGTCTGAAACTAAAAAAACAAAAATGTACTGCCTGAAAAGGTAAATACTACATCAACACAAGGAGATGAGAGTATTAAAGGACAAGTCCACAGAACTCAAATTTGTTCTTAACAATAGCTATGTATTGAGACATCTGATACAATTTAGCTCTCCCTTAAAAGATGTTTCAAATGTGAAAACTATGCCAAAGGTCCATGATCATTGTACAACATGAAATAAAACCTGCGCTTAAAATTAAAATGCAGATGAAGTTAACAGAGTTTTCCAGCATTTACCAATCTCTTCAACACCACCTTATAGCAAAATAGCCACAAAAAGAAAGGCTGACTGATTTACCAGATTTTGCAATCTGAGGAGGGCACAATTACTTGCCTGAACTGACTGAGCTAGCAGAAAGTAAGCCTAGTATTTGGACTTGTAGCACCTGTTATAGTATCCACTATCTAGAGCTAAATATTTATGTCATATAAAACAGTGAGAAAAGGAATGCTTAATGTTTGCATACAATTGTTTCCTCTCATAACCGTCCTTCCACTACTACAGACAGCAGCATCTTAATCATTTTGTTAAAGCAGCATTTTACTTGCCCAGTAATTATTTTCCCAGGAAATTAACCCTGTGGTTTCCATTTGTCATTTCCACAGACAAGAGGATCCATCTGATTAACACAATGCCTTTTTCCCTGAGGTAACGGGAAAAAAAATTTGCCTATTTACTTATTCTGTAATCCTACTGCCTAACTTCATCCTCTTCCTTCTTCTATTACCATTTGTTATCACACAGTATAGAAATCTTTTCACATTCTGAGTCTCAATGGGGCAAAACTAGAGGACACTTCATAGTATCAAAATAAGGACTATATTAAATAATGATTGTTTGGTTTATTAAAAAATTTAAATCACTTCACTGATCAGAGGTTTTTGCTTCTACTTTGAAGCTTTCAAAAGTGTGTCTGTTATTTGGTCCCATGCTCTATAATCGCCTCAGTCTTTTCTAAGCAGGTACATATTAAGTGTTTGAAAATTTTCAGTGCAAGTATACTGCTTGGCTACCTCCAGTTTACAAGAAAAAGTAGCTATAGCTGGGACAGAAGGAAGCTTGCAGATTTCATGAAAGCACAATGAGGAAGCTACAAAGACAGCAAGAGTGGAAAAAACAAACAAGGAAACCAAAAGAATCTATATTTAGGAAGAAAAAGAAACAGTTGTAGGGAATGCACACACACAATATATTTCCAGAAAACATCAGCCATTCAACTTTCCTCCCACACATGAACCACATGTACAGTAAGCTTGCTTAGGGAATCAGCCAACAAATCCTAACTACCTCATCCAAGGCACTGATATGAAGGAAAGAAAATGCCGTACCCCTTCAAGTGAGTTGTAAGAATATCAGAAGTCAAGCAAATACATTTAAGTCTACTTTTGTGGCATTTAATACCCTTTTTTAGACATTTTTCCATTAAGAATAAACTTGTTCAGTTTAAGACTTATACTGCAGAAATAATACTACACACATACCACGTTTTTGTGCCTCCTCTTCATCACTGTCACTCTCTTCAGACGACGATGATGATGATGACGACGATGATGACGACGATGATGAGGATGATGACGATGCTGAAGAACAAGATGAAGATGATGAAGAGCTAGAGCCTGATCGAGAGTGTGAACAAGATGAGGAAGACGAAGAGGATGAAGAAGATGACCTGGAAGAACAGGATGATCTATCTGAGTCAGAGTCTGAGTCAGAGCTAGAGTCAGATCCCCTTTTGCTGACTCTCTGTTTTTTGGAAGCTGGGTTTGGAGTTAGAGGCTCTGTCCTTGCTGCCACCATGCGCCTATCTGTTTCAGTCTTCATGCTAGGTTTGTGGTCTGTATTTTGTGTTGGTGTGCCATTTTTTGGACTCAAAGGTTCAGATTTCATTATTGTCTGTGTCTCCTCTGTAGACATAGATTCCTCTTCAGAAGACTGAGGGTCCTCTTTCAGATTTTCATTTTTTGCTTTTGTGTCCTCAAAAGCATTCACTTTAGCTTCTGACAATCTTGACTGAGGTGTAAGAGGAGAAGCAGATAACGCCATCTGGTACTGATGCAAGAGCGGAGTAGAAGTCCTTGAGAGTGCCACTTTATTTTGATTATAGTTCCTCTGGGCAGACATAAATGAGAGTTCGGGATCACGAAGAATATGATAATCTGTCCTGCTAACTCCATGTTTAGCAGCTCCAATAAGTAAATCCCTGTCATGAGTCCCACACTCCCACCAGACAGGTAAGTCTGGGTTTGGCTGGCATAATTTTAGTCGTTCAAACAACTGTGGGTGTCTAAGAGCCTGTTCTCTCACTTTCCTCAGGAGTTCAATGCGATACAAAGTCCGAGAAGCACGCTCCTCTGTAATTGGTTGGATAAAAATGTTTGGGTCTACGAGTTCTGTGTTAAAACAAAACAAAGATGAGAATCTGGGAAAAAAAACCCTGCTGTAAATCAATACTAGAAGTAGATGGCTTTAATCAGTTAATGTATGTGTACCCATTATAAGCTTTCAGTTTTACATTTAAGAAGTTTCATCGTTTCCTTCTCCCCCATTTTTATTTTGGAACATGTGAAAGAAAAACCTTTGCAAGATAAGCACTGGCAACAGAAATTAAATATAAAACTAAAAGTAAAAATATACACACCCACCTTCTTTTGAGGGGAGACGACAGACTCTCCGGCACATTGACATAAATGCATACAAGTACTTCTCTAAGCTCTCATCAGTTTTCTTATGTAGTCTAGCCATTGCTCTAAATTTGGTCCAATCAAACCGTCCCCTTTCAGGATCAAATACCACTCCGAATGTGGACACAACTCTGTAAAAGTCAGCTTCTTCTCTTCTCGTCCATCTTGATCAGCAAGAAAAAAATTGGAAATCCTGTCATTTTCTTCACTATTTCACACAGCTAGCAATTATTATTTCTTCAAAATTTTTTATATAAGGATATAATAAAAATGTGTATTTGCCTGCTGCACATACCTTTGCTGTCTTTCAATCTTAGCAGCCATCTTTGGATTTAGAACAGCTTCTTCATATGGAGGCTGCATCATACTGGTTTGTATTGGGAATGCTGGCTGAATCTGCTGGGCCTGCCTATTTTTACTTGTTCGTTGATAAGCTGTTATTAGGCGGCGAAGACGTGTTGTTAAGGCAGACTGAGTGGGCCAATAGATTTTGTCTCCTTCCATCATTTGTCCATCTATATTAAAACAAAGTCACAGGAAAAATAAAGACATTAATCATTGCTGGTGCCTATGGTTCTACACTAGGCAATCTAAAACATTTTAGCTAAGAGTCAGGAGAATTAAAGAATTCAAAATAGACTGAATTGGCTCAGATTTGAAGTTTTATGTATTTACCTCCGTCTGCTATTACTAGATCACCTGGGGATGAAACATCATCCTGTAGAGAAACAGAAGTGAAGCAAAATTCAAAATGTAGCCCTCTCCAGAGATTTAGGTTAAACTTACATCTTGCAGACAGTTTCAGAATATAACAAAGAACAAGAGTTACATATATTTTTTACCAATGGCTAACAAGACATACAACAGTTATACAATTCCCTCCCATTCCCCCCCGCCCACACAACTGCAGAAACACACAGAGTAAGTTCTATCGATTTAGAGAAATACAGAAAAATGTAGTAATTTGCTCAATGAAAAGGTGGAAGCATTACATTCTAAGGGTGTTAAAAGAAGCTATTAATAGGTGCCTACTATACCTCTATGTCATCTTTAAACATTGCCGGTGCTGGTTTGTATTCTGGATCTTCTACATCCCTGTTAAGATTTCAACACAAAAGAACCCATCTTAGTAATATTTTAGAAGTCCATACAGGCTTTTCAATTAAGCAAAACTCATTTAAATTTAGTTAGATATACTGTATTTTAATTTTCTATTTGAAAAATATTTCATGGCTTGAATCCTGCCTCCCAATTCACTATCTCATTCAAAGATGTTCTTTATGACCACAGCTGCTAACCTCACTGATGCAGCAATGAATAAAAGCAGTTCTCCCTTTCAGAAGCTATCAGTGATACTCAAATTGATCTACTGGGTTCAGCGGTTAGCTACACAAGACTAATACACCAAGCTGACTGACCTGAAATCAAGTTAAACAGGTCTGCAATACTCCGCCTTCTGAAGGCTTTTGCACTTCAGTGTCTAAGTAATATTTCTGATACAGCAACGCAAGGTAGAGTCCTTGTTAACAACAAATTGCTGCATTTTTCCTTTAACTGCAAAATCCCAAACTTCAATGGTTCTGTTACAGTGTTCCTAACTCTTTTCCACTCTGTGAGAGTAAAATCAAAGTAGTATTCTTCACAACGACATCAAACTAGTATAAAACCAGTTAAGAAGAGAATAAATTACAAGATATAAATTCAGTCTCGCTTACTTTAAGGCCCCAAAACATTCATGCCCACTTTTAAGTGTTCATACCCATCAATATAATCATTTGCTCTCTGTTCGGCCGCAACTGCTTTTTCATCTGGCTTGCCAACCCTTTCCAAGAAGCACAGCGCTGGGTCTGCTCTGATAGTGTTGTATTTTTCATAACCTATAAAGGAAAAAAGAAGTGGCAAAAATTCAACTTTCAGAGTACGCTATAAAAAAAATTGAGTGTAGGGTGTTTATATTGAGGGATGGGGAAGTACATACGCAGCCATCCATATTACTCACCATGTTTAAAAACTCCAATTAGAAGAGATTTATCTGCATCTGCATCCCACCACTCGGCAGGAACTTCAGAGTGATCTGGCTCAGGGACCCAAACATCAATTTCACTGAGGAAAATCACCAACAACACACCAACATCAATAATATTCAGAGGAAGAAATAAATTTTCATTTTCTCTTTGTACATTTGTATTTTATGTGGGGTCTAAACTTCTCTCTTCAAGCACACATATACAACATTCCATGTCTAGCAAACTAATTCAAAGATTACTCTGAAGGTTGTAAAGAGTCCTAGGATTGAAGTGTTTAATTTTTTAATGCACTTTGTTATTTAATAGCAAATAACAGTTAAAAAGTGGATTATTATGCTACTAAGTTACGTAAGCCACACAATACAATATTAATTTATCATTAAGAATAATTTTGATAACCTAAAGAAACTGAGGCGTACCGTTTTCACCTCTGCATTCAATAAGACCCTAAAAACAGCAATACAAAACACCCAGACAGCTTGGTATTTTATATTTGACAGAGACCAGTAACAGAGAAAGAATATGAAAGCAGAACCAGCATACAGTATTATTCCTCTCTCAGTAAACTCTGACAACTCCTAGCAGGTTGTGCTTACAAAACTTAGCAAACCAAGGAGTATATGCTTTTACGTTTAATAGCACGAGATGGACTGTTCTTCCACAGATGTTTATAACAGCTTTCTGAATCAAATTAAAACTTTCTATCCACCACAAGCTCCTGCGAGTTCAAGAATTTCCAAATGGCAATACTTGATTTAAAAAAAAAAAAAAAAAAGAATATGCAGCACATAACCAAAAGTGTGCATAAAGAGGCATGAGAAACCCACCAGTTAGAATGTAAAGTATATAATTCTGTCTTTCATGCACTTTTTCAGTCTATTTGACTTTAATAATTTTACTTTATATAGCTAGACTCATAAATAAGTATCAGGACTTCCTCATGTCAGGTCAAAACAAAATGTTTAGTAAACAAAAACATTTTTATCACAGCCTAGGAATACAAATATTTGGTTTTAACGTTTCTTATTTAGGTCTAGGAAGATTTCTTTAATTTTTCGTTTGACAGTTTACATTTAAAATAAACAAGCAAAAAACCTCTCTATAGTTCACCTGGCATCAATTCCATCAAACACCTTTTGGAATTCATTACCAATGACTTCTTGTTTTAAGTAATACAGCATTCTTACTCGAAGCAAGACCCTAAACAAAGAAAAAAGAAGTACAAATATTAGCAGTCTAAAAGCTTTCAATAGTTGCAGGTGGTTTTGTTTTGTCTTTTGCAATATCACAAAGCTTTCAAGACATTTTCCTAAAACATACTTCCTTCAGTTATAAGAGGAGGTAACCTCCAATTCAGGTCACCTAACATTTTTTATTACAATCACTGTTTCAAATCATTTCATTGCAAAAATTCTTTCAAGACCTAGACAAAGACCAGGGCCATCAGAACACCCCTCACTTGCTTTATAAAATACTGCTAAGAACAAACTGCTGTTTTCCCTTTTCCTACTTAGAAGATTCCCTTAGAAACTATCCAGCGGGCTGACAATGAACATCTTTCACATCACCTTTTCATTCCTTCTCACTTTGAATTTTGTGCATGACCCCAATGGCTTCTCTATGCTTTATCTCAATTCTTGACTACAGCTGTATGAAGTTTTCAAGCACAGTATGACAAGTTTTGCTACAGAATAATGATTTATCTAAAACAAGCTCATTCATGGCTATGAGCTTTCAACAAGCTAGAAGCTCAGATTCTCAGAAGCCTAGGAAACATGCCAGGTAAACAGCATATAAGATTGAGGGGCAACAACTTCAGTGCTTTCAGTTTCTTTGCTAAGCACTCCCAAACTCTTTAGTCCTTTGGCTGCTACAAGACTCCCCAGATGTGCTAGCAAGATCGATCTCTCTTTCTCTGTACAGACACAAACATACAGTTTCTTTAAAAATGATGAATTTAAATGTGAAATACTCAGTCCACCTCCTAATACACTGCAACCTATTTATTCTAATCATGCAAATACCCTTCAAACCTGTTCCTTCATAGTGCCACAAGTATTTTAAAGTCTTCTAAGACAATGAGTACTTAGAAGAAAAAAGAATCTTTACATAATATAAACACTGAAAGACATTCACACTTTAGCTACTGCTTACTTGTTGCAATGGTGTTTTATGTGCTTTTTGTATCCTTCATCTTGCAACAGATGTTCTGGATTGTATTTTCGAAGCCATTCTGCTTTGTGTATATCAAAAGTGCTAGCCTGGGTCTTCACTTTTTTTCCTTTTCTTCCTCTAGGCACAGGGGCTGATAAGCCTATATAATTTAAAATATAATACAGTAACAGCAACAGGTAGGTATAGATCCCCATGACACATAGTTCCTATATCCTATACCAGTATTGTGACCTGCAGTGCAGAAAAAAATACGAGCATCACAGCCTCTGGATACAAGGTTTTATTCTCTTTTGTCTCTTAGAGCATCTCTGGATTACATTTCACCAGCTAAGGACAAAACAGGAGAGGGGGAAAGAAAGGAGTGTGTTGTCACCTACTATGAAACAGAATAGGTTCTTATGAACTGAAATGAAAAGAAAGCTTACACAGAGTATACCAATCCATTTGGGTAAGCCATCAAATACAAAGCAAAGCAGAAATGACACTTCTTTTTCCATCAATTGAATTGTGTATGTGGAATAAATTCCATTTATTTCAAAGGAGGACATATTCAGAGAGAATTTTTAGCTGTTTTTATCCCAGTACCACAGACATATGTATATGAAGCTATTCAACTGCAGAAACACGTAAATACTTACCCAGATGATTCTGTAACTCTCTTGTTTGCCCGTCCTCTGTTGGGGTAATGAGATCCCATATAAAACTTTTTATTTTCTCATCCCCTCTGTAGTGAACAAGACAATAGGCTAATAGAGCTCGGCAAATTATCTCCACATCCTGTTCATTCAGCTGTCTCTTGAAGCGACCATGGGACAAAATTTCTCTCCATCGACCCCACCTAGTGCAAAGTGAAATGCAAATCAGTACTCAGAAGTGAAACACCTGGGTAGCCTGTAGGTTTCTGTCACAAAATGAAATTTCTCTGTAAAATATTTATCTTTCCACTTTTTTTCCTTCAGCTTAAGTTACTAAGTAGAAATACGAAAGTAACATTTGCAACAAAACTCCACCTGTTTAAAACAGAGTTTTAAACAAAACTTGCCCGTTTACAAAGAAAGTATGGATGATTGTTTTAGGCTTCTAAGACACACAACTGATGGGAACTCATACTGATAAACAAACACAGTCATTTCTCTTAAAAGGTGGGCGAGAGAAGACCTAAGATTTTATTTCCAAATCAACATATCTAAGGATGCTTAAAATACCTGGTTAGATTTTCAGTTCCTATTCTCACCTCATGGAAGTGCAAGATATTCTGCAATTATGAACATCAAGTCACCTACCAAGCCTTTATTTCGGATATTTATTTATTTACAGAGTTTTGAACCTGTCTGCAGCACTTACTGTAATGATTTTTAGAGAGACTACTGTAGTGCTCACGTTAAATGTCATAATCTCCTTTGAAGAAAGGTTTTCACCTCTCTTGAATGTTTCTTCAACTGCAAATTGTCAGAAAGATTTATACAGGGTGCATGATAAATTCACATTCTAAATAAAATCTACATATACATACCAGGTTACTGCCAATTTAACTAAAAGTTATTCCATAAATACTGTTTAATACATGAAAAAATACTATTTTTTTAAAACTTTCCAGAATGAAGAAGGATGTATACAATACCCATAGACAAGCAAGTTTTTCTCCACCCGAAAGCACTCTGTTCTTCCATATCCACTGGAACGGTCACACGGCCTGCGGAGTTTTGGTTTATCATCACCCTCACTCTCTACTTCAGACAACTCGGCCAGCTCATCTTTTGTAGCACTAAAGGGCCGTGTTTGCTTCCTAATTCTTGGGGTATCAATAACCAGGCTGTTCTGCAAAATTTCAAACAAACCTTATCAGAGAAACAGTTGGTAAGTTTTTCTTAAGTAGATGGCTTCAGTTCAGAAACAACAGTTTCTATCTAATGTCATTAATACGTATTTTGTAAAGACATCACAGTAAACACCTATAAAGCAAGTAAAACATTTTGTGGTATTTAAGGCAACAAAACATGGGTCTCACACCACGATGCCAGTACATTGGTTACAAACAATACTGAATACCTCATCTGAGCTGAATACTTACACAGACTATGTTGCAGTCTCTGTGAGTAAAAAGGGGCACTGAAACTTTTTTAGAACTGACTGCATGGGAATGCCTTCAAGTACAGCACACAACTTCCACTATTATAAAATTTATATAATTCTTAGTTGGCTATTTTGCAGATTCCAGCCCAGGATTTACAGACAAATGAACAGGACAATCTGAACAATTACACACTTTCAACCATTTCCAGGTCTTTGACAAAAATCAAAGACCCCCAAACTCTTGTGGGACACCAGGGAGCTAGGAAATACTAAAGCCATCAGCAGGCTGATTACCCATGCACAAACTAACCAGCACAAAAAAAGTTTGATTTGTTGAACTATTACTCAAAAAAGCACGAGAAATCCTACACCTGCTATTTCAGAATTCAACAGCAAGCACGTATGTGAAGAAACATGCATTAAAAAAGAGAAGTACTTACTCTACCACTGATAGCATCTATATCTATTTCTGCTTTTTTGGCCCATTTCTGCCAGAAGTTGGGATCATCTAGTGAAATATCAGTCCTGTTTCCAGATGCAACAAAACTAGCCTGTAATAAATAAAACTAAATCTTACCAACATCATACATCACAAGTTTGTAGAGTTTGAATGCCTCAGTGCTGCAAAGACTGCATAACCTTATTTCATCAAAAATCTCCCAAGCAGCTGTTAAGACCAGCAGTTACTTACAGAGGAAAACAACTCAAAAGTTCTCCCTCCCCCTTAATTTTTTAAAATCAGATACCCAATATATCAGAAAAATCTAATGAACTTTTATGCACTATCAGGAGACAAGAACATAAAGCAGCAAGATTCTTCTGTTTCTGAGAGTGAATCTAAATTACTTGGATGGAAGAAAATACAATCTTTTGAAGAGGCTTATCAGCATTTGGGGATTTTGTCTCATGCAAAAGTACTCGCTTGAGGGAAATTTCAAAGGAGTGTTTAAACTACCAACAATCAAAGCTTGAGAGCATGGAATAAGCTTAATTTCAGAAGGCATTTAAGAAACCCTGATACACTGCTTTTGGGAAAAGAGTAAATACATATAAAAATTTCTAACTCTTCTGATAAAAAGACAGGAATGATGATGTTCCCTAATTGGATTCCTCTCTCCTTTAGAATTCTATTTCTTATTTAACCTGCAATCAGCAAGATATAAGAGAGCCTAAATAAATATATATTTCTAAATATA